CATGACATCACAAACCCAGATAAACCCCGCCCTCGGGAAAAGGCAGCAAAGGGGGCGAGGCCATGCTGCGCTGCTTTTGAGAAGAGGAAGAGAAAACATCTCGGTTACGTATGTAACCTTGGTTCCCTGAGTAGGGGAACGAGATGCTGCGATGACGTCATCGCTTTGGGAACACCTTTGGTGTGACGAATGTCTGAAGCCCTTATACCATCACGCCAATTCATTGGCCAAATAGCGCTTAGCACCGCCCCCAAAGTGCACGTAGGTGAACTATATAGCGTGCTGCGCGCTATTTTCATCAGATAGGAAAATCATTAGGAAAGCAAAAAAAAAAGTTTCAACTGTAGAACACCCAAGACCCCTGGCAGACTACTGGGCCGCGTGGAGTCACTTGAATGTTTAAATTGGTAAGACTTAATAGCACATGCAAATGATACTTTCCCATCATCTGTCCCGAGTGTCTTTCACGCTGAAATATTTGTGGCAGTTTTCCCGAACCTGCGGAAATGAGTAGAATTATGCGCAATACCCGCAATCCTGTGCCGAAATTTAAGCCCGAAATTCAAGAACTTTTACTTCTGAGTGAACTATTCCTTTAAATACAGTCAAATATGAAACGTATTTTATTAGGTTTTGTTTATATGTTTTTGGCTTTGTAGTTGATTAAAATTATGACAGTTCCCATCCTTTAAATCAAGTATAATTTTTCAGTACTTGTAGCTTTGTTCAAAACCACCATGTAACTGCCCTGTAGTGCATACGCCATCAAGCCAAGTGTTTTTATATAGTACCACACAATGCAAAGCAGTGTCAGGGAAGGATTGAGAAGCGATGATTTAAGGACACAAGACAAGTACTCGGCAGTCTCTGACCTGTCAATCAGACTATAGAGCAGCTCTTTCCCTGAGCAGCACTCAGAGATGAGCACTAGGTAGCGTGGGGTGACGTAGGCCTCATGCAGAGCCATGACCTTCTCATGATGGAGGGACTTCAGTATGTCATACTCCTGTAACACGGCCTGCTTGCTCTCAGGTTCATACGGCACAATCTTGGCCATGTACAGGTTACCGGTGGCATTTTCCCGACACTCTCTGATCACACCAAAACGACCTCTGTGGTGAAGAGAATACAAGGGGATCAATGGCTGTCAAGTTCAGTTTTAATTAATTATTTGTTTTATAAAAAAAAAAACTATTTTGTGATTTTATTTGCTTTAAAAGTATTTATATTTCCTTGTATATGGTTTATATGCGAATATATGATATTCTGTAATATTGTTCAAAAAACATTCAAAAATTAAAAAATGCAGCTTAAGTGTCACTGTATAAAAGAAGTAGTACTAGTGTTTTCCCCCCTTCAGTCATGTGTTATCTTGCTTAGCTTCCTAGGACTACCACTTGTGGACCCCCATAAAAAATAAAATAAAATAAAATAAAATTAGAAAATAAAAAACATAAATAAAAATCAATCAATCAATAAATGTAAAAAATAAAAAGGAAAATACGCATGTCTGAAAATAAAGTAAAAAATAAATCATAAAAATCAAAATAAATCAAATAAATAAGCACACAAATAAATAAAAATATAAAAATAATAAAATATCCATGTCTGTAAATAAAGTATAACTAAATAAAAGTAACAAAAATAATAAATAAACCAAACAAACAAAATAAATAAAAATAAATACAACTATAAGAATAATAAATAACATTTAAAATATGAATGTCTGAAAATAAAACATAATATAAATAAAAAGTAAAAATAAAAACAAACAAATAAAATAAATAAATATGCATGTATGAAAACAATGAACAAAATAAAACTCAACAACTTTGAACAGTAATTACATCAAAAGCTGATTTACATGACTAACCAATTATTTAAAATGATATTATTCTAGTTAAGCGTTTATCATAACATGATATATGGATTACAGCTACTTTTGTATTTGATGTTGTTTTGATTTTATTATTTGATGTTGATATGATAAACAGCCATAAAAATGTTCTTTTGTGACACTGGTACAAGGTAATATAAATGTGATCAGTCACAGCACTTTACCTTGCTTTCTCATCCATGAATGTGTACGGTTTCTGTGGGACTCCCTGCCTTAGGGTCGAGTCTCCAGGTTTTCCTATAGGGGTCCTGCGCCCTGTAGGAGTGATGCGTCCAGAAGGAGTGGCTCTTCCACTTGGAGTCGTACGATTGGGTGTGCCAGTACCCTCCCCTACGGGACTCAGACTTGTAACTAACACCACCGGTGGTGACAGGGCAGGAGAAGGCGTGTTTGGGGTGACTGGAGTCACATGTGCTGTGGTGGTGGCCGGGACATACATAGGCACTGAGGAGATAGGCTTGCCGATAGCAGGCGGAGGGGAGACCAGAGGGGGCGGGGACACCGGAGGGGTTTGAGGAGGGGGGAAGACCGCATTGACTGGGGTCTGAGGTTTGGGCAGAACGACAGGTGGTGAGGGTTTGGCAGGAGGAGGTTGAGCTGCAGGGGATCCTGGGGAGGGTTTGGCCATAGTGATGTTGACAGTAGTCTTAGCTTTCGCTGAGGTAGGAGCACTAGAGGATGGAGTTCGGATATCAGGCACAGTACGATGCGTCGGGGGAAGGGTGGCAGGGGAAGGTGTCGTAGCTGATGCAGGTGCAGCAGGTGGAGACACAGGCTTTACCGGCTGGACTGTAGAGGGCACTGAAGTCACCGGTGGTGCTGCAGCCTGTTTAATGGCAGCAGGCTTCATTGCAGGTAAAGTCATGGTGGATGTTACCACTGTAGGCGCAGCAGCCGGAGCTGATGAAAGTGTCTTGACAACAACTGTTCCACTGGACTTTTGGGGTGCTGTAGAAATAACTTTGAATTTGAAAAATGAAGATGCATAGATGCATAAGTTCTATTCAAATTTATATTACGCTACTGTTAAAAAGTTTGAAGTTGCTACAAACTATTTTTAATGTAGTCTTTTATGTTTGCCAAGGCAGCATTTATTTGATCAAAAATACAGAAAAAAAACAGTAATATTGTGAAATATTACTACAATTTAAAACAACTGTTTTCTATTTTAATATATATTAAAATGTAATTTATTCCTGTAATGGCAAAGCTCAATGTTAAGCAGCCATTACTCCAATCTTCAGTGTCACATGATCCTTCAGACAGCAATCCAATATACAGATTTGGTGATTAAATAACATTTATATCATTTATTTGAAATATAAGGTTTTTGTAACATTGTAAAAGTCTTTACTGTCACTTTTGAACAATTTAATGTGCTTTAAATTTAATGTTTGATCAATTTGATCAGTTTAATCTTATTGACCTCAAATTTTTGAACAGTAGTCATATTATATTATATTACATTATATATCAAAGCCATGCATCCGATTATGTCTGTCATTTTGTAGAAGCTAGGCAGTTTTTGTGACATGCCATTTGTTTTCAAAGAACATTAAAAAAAAACTATAACCCAAAATGCATTAAATATTGTCACACCTGCAGCAAAAATAAACATGGTTTTGTTTAGTAAAATATTGGCTGCTGACAGCATGAAATAGATGAGAACCACAAAGCTTTTGTGCACCTGTTGAGTCCAGGACAACTTTTTCAGACAGATTGCTGTAAGGTCCCTGGCCAGCCTTGTTCACACAGGCCACTCTGAACCTGTATGCTGCACAAGTTGGAAGGTCCGTGACATTGTAGTAACAGTCAGCAACACCTGTGGCTACTATCAGCCAGTTAGTCTCACCTACAAAAATAAATATTATATTGTTACTTGTAATGAATAAGAATTGTTTGCAACACCTATGCTTTCCAAAAGAGGGCAGTAGAACAGAAGGAAATGTGACTGTTTTTCCTCTACATTCCCCTACCCAGTTTTTATTTATTTATTTATTTATTTTTTACATTGGACAAAACTAATAGCAAGAAAATCTAGGCAATTTAGGAAAATCAACATATTACAGTATTACCATTATTTAAAAAATAAAATTTTTTGCATTTAAAATGAATACTGAGAACACAGCTGACAATATTTTCAACAATATACTTCAGGAATCCCACTCTAAATCATCAAAGTAAGATAAACAATGAATGCTATTAACTAACCCTCTGTCTTCCTCTCCAGAGAGTAGGTGCATGGTGCCGTGGTGTCTGAGGGTCTCCATACCACCAGAGCAGTGTTTTTATACTTCTGAGGAACCTCAGGAGTCCCAGGACTATTAGGCAGACCTGCAAAATAATATTTAGTGTTCACTACTAGAAATTCTCTTAGTTGATCTGTCTTTTGAAAAACTGTTCAAAAGTTTGGGGTAAGTACATTTTTTTTTTTATGAATACTTTTATTCAGCAATCACATATTAAACTTGTCAAAAACGACAGTAAAAATTTTTTTGAATGTTGCAAAAAAATTCAATTTTCAATATATTGTTTTGAACTTTCTATCCATCAAAGTAACCTGAAATATATTAAGCAGCTTAAGTGATTTCAACATTGAAAATAATATTTCTTAATTGTCAAAACAGTATATAAGAATGATTTTTGAAGGATCACGTGACACTGAAACCTGGAGTTATGGCTGCAGAAAATTCAGTTTTGCCATCACAAGAATAAATTACACTTTAAAACATATTCAAATACAAAATTATTAAAAAAAAATATATATATTTTTATTTACAATTTTCAAATACAAAATTATTTTAAATTGAAATAATATTCCACAATTTCACTGAGAGACACTTTTGAAAGGTAAGTGTATGTTACTGTCTTTAGTGCAAATTTCATAGAAACTGGATTGACAAACAGTTTTTTTTTAGCTGATTAAACATTTTAGAGCTGAACATAACTAGAAAAATTATATTTGCTAGTCACATGGTTTTCCACATTTTTACAATTTCCACATTTTTCCTTGACCGTGGGAAACCTGCAGGTAAAGGGATATTATAATAGCCACATTCCAGACACTAATGTAAAAATTGATGACGATGACAAAAACTGTCTCGGGTAAGGCAGCTACATGATATTTGCACCTCTGCTAACAAGTCACCTTTCCATATTAATCAGCTTTGTGAAGCACAAAAAGGAGTGAATAATTTATGGCCTGCTGTTCTGGGAGAAAACAGCTTTGCACAATGATAAGCAGTGCATTAGCCTGCTCGCGATGTTAGAAAGCCAATGGCATTTCTGTTCTCAAGGCTAAAAGAGCTCCTTCCTGAGTCTAGCTGTGAGCTATGCACTAACTCTTAAAAAATAAATTTAACTGTTCTTTCACTGTGTCCTTCTTTCATCTCTGTTCTAGCCTTTACTTTTCGGAGAAATTCAGGAACGCTGCATTGTAGCCCTTATTTTCTTCTTAAGGGGTTTTCACACTGACAGTGATTTTCTGCAACAAAATTACCATATCTCATTCATTTTCAATGAGAGCTTGGCAATGCAATATGGGCATACCCAGTGACTAATCAAGTTTGAGAAAAGTGATGCATAAAATCGCACGCATAACCATGTCAGAAATTGTCAGTATTCGAAGTTTGAGTTTGACTAATGTATTGATAATCATTCTTGTTCATGATATGATCTATTTTGCATTGCTGCATTTTATACACAAATACTGTCCCTAGCAGAATATTAAGTTGCTTTGGATAAATGAATACAATTGTAATATTTTAAAAAGTATCAGTGGGTCCCTAACTTTGCACATTTCCTTCTCTGCTTTGTTTTCTTAATCTATTTCTCATTTACCAAACTATTCTCCTTCCTTTATCAGACTTTCAGTTCCTCATTTGCTTCTTGTCTTAAACTTACGCGCAAGGGACACGACGCATGAGCTGGTGACAGAGGCCAGTGCATTTGAAGCCACACATTCATAAAGGCCTGCATCCTTCTTGGTGGTCTTCATAATCATCAGCAGCTGTCTCCCGTCAGGACAGGATATCATGTTCATCCTTGGGTCGATTTCAAGTGGCTTCTTATCTGAGATTACACAAAGTTGAAAAGCAAAATTGTTAGTTGGGAACTTTTTCCAAAATCATAATCTCAAAGCCACAACCTGTTGTGCTCTAATGTTAATGTTGACATGTTAGACTTTGACTTTGGTGGTGTTACTTTGAGATGAAAAGAGATCCTTCTATATATAGCCAAAAAAATAAATAGTTTTGGTTGTGTCAGCACAATGACTATTAATGCATCTAGAATTCATGGTTTAGTGCAGCACAGATACTTTTAAAGGATCATTTAAAGAAATAAAAATAATTTAGGATCCTATATGCATGATCACAAACAATGTTATTGTAATACTGCTGTATAACAATCTGTTTTCCTATATACTGTAGCTGTGCGGGTTCCACATCTCTTATTTCACTCTGTAACTCATAAAACAATTTAAACTTAAATAATTTCATGTCCATTTATCTAACATTATCATTTGTGTTGGAGTCCTATTAACCCTATCAAGGTTTATTTTGTGATAATGACCAGCAGACTGTAGATTATCCCCTATATGAATATAAATGACCATCAAAGTAAAGAACAATCTGCCAAGAAATATATGCATTTATTATGCAAATATTATATTTTTTCTTAAACTCTCAAAGTACTCCATATTGGCTGAGACGAGATAATGTGAAAGACTGAAAGTTCTCATTTCTACAGATAAAAAAAACATTAAGCCAATAGAGTGAACAAAATCTCTACAGCACTGAGATAATACACTTACACTTATTGCAAAGTTATTTTATATTCAGTATATTCAGTTAGGGATATTGCATTCAATTTAGGTCAGATTATATTATCTTTAGTCCCATAGAAGTTTATATTACAATTTGAATCAGACCTTTCATCCATGAGATGCGTGGGTGAGGACTGCCAGCAGGGAGGCAGCTGAGAGTGACGGGATCTCCCTCCAAGAGAACGTGATCCCTTAGTTTGATATGGAACACAGGAGGGAAGTCTAATTGTTGAGAGAATCAGTGAAAAGATTAGTGAGATAATTTATCTCACACAGCTGTGCCAAAGCAAGTCCATATGCATAATTGATTCACTGATGACATACGTAAATCTTTATAACAAAACTGGAAGTAATCAAATAGATGTCTCATTTTGTGCACAAGTTACTGTGAAATGCGTAAATGAAATGTCCAATACCAGATGTTAGACGTGTGTACTGGCGAGAGCGGAGAGAGCCATTCTCCCTGGCAATGGAAGCTGGGATGTCTGGTTGGGAAACCGTCTTGTCTCTTTTTCCCATTGTCAACCCCCAGCGGTCCCATCGTGATCTGCGCTCAATTTCTGCACCTGGAAAATAATTATGGCCTTTCAACAGCATGAAGGAATTATCAAATTAAAAGCATTAACCAAAAAATAACATACTTTTAACAGCTGATTCTGACTGGATGCTTGACATGGAATCGAGAGATTCTGATGACGTCCCTTTCCCTGATTGGGCAGCCAGTTGATTCTGTGGAACACCCATCCTCTTCAGACTGCTACCCTCTGAGGTGGAACGCCGCATTTTTGTAAATATAGGTGTCCTCTTCTCCATCTTGCTTTCATTATCAGCTTTCCTTTCCTCAGAGTGGCTCCTAATCCTTGTTGATAGGCTTGCCATGGTACTGCCAATCTTCTTGCGCATGGCAAGGATCGGTGACTCTGAGGGTGCTTTGGACTCAGGCTCTGGGGGAGGCTCAGGACCTCCATCCAACCTCACCATCTCAATCTCTTTCTTTTCTTGGGATCCTCTCCTTCCCAGTGCCCAGGACAGACGACGTCTGGGTGCTGAAGCTTCCTCCTCTTTGAGCTTCACTTCCTGCCTCTCTACTGATGGGGTTCTTTTCAAGCGCATTGAGAGTCTCCTCATGAACCCAGGGTCCTTCTCTGCCTCACGAAGATCCTGAACTGACTTGGACTTCTCCTCCAACCTCCTTGGTACAAATTGTAAAGGTGCACCAATTGGCCCTGGGCGATACATTTCTTCTGCAGTTTCTGGAGCAACAGTGGAAGGCTTTTCTTCAGTCTTCTGGAATGAGAAGCGTTTAAGACTACGAGTTAGAGAGGACTCACGCTTCTTGAAGCGAGCTTCAAAGACTTCTTCAGATGCAAGGTCCCGAATGTTGCATCCAGGAGACGGCTCTCGCTTAGGGGAGGCACGAGTGGGAGTCTTAGGAGGACTTGGCTCTTTAGGAGGATGTTCTGTTGAGGCAACCCGAGAAAAGACTGCAGGATGTTCAGTGGTTTGGTGAAGGTCTGGTTTGGATGAAGAAGTTGACAAAAGGGTTGGTTCAGAGATGTGTCTGGAAATGGGTGCATAGACTGGAACTGATGGTGGGGTGGATGTTGTTGTAGGTGTAGGTACAGGAACAGGATCGGGTTGGCTGGATGTCTGGACCGATGGTACCATAATAGTCTGCATGATACTGGCATATGCAGACACCCTACCATCTGGGAGCACTGTACGTGCAGGGAGTGATGAAGTCACATAGGTTGAGACAACACTCTGGGGGCTGAGAGCTGGGGCAGCTGTTGGGGTCACTATGATGGAGCTGGTGGAAATGGTGATCTCTGGAGACTTTGGTGATGCCTTTACTTCATCCTCAACTTCTTTAACCTCAATCTCTGGAGCAAGAGGCTCCACTTCTTTCTCTGGTTCTTTATCCTCTCTTTCCTCCTCTTCCTCAATTGTTTCCTCTGCTATGGGGGTCTTCAGCTTAATTTCATCCACTTTTTCAGACTCTTCACTGAGCTCCTCTAACTTGGCCTGGACATTCTCTTGTGCATCAGTCTCCCAAGATTTCTGATCAACACTTCTGGATATTTCTGCATTAGTCTTTGACACAACAATGACTTCTTTAGATTTATTGTCCTTGTAGACTGCTGACTCTTTTTCCTCAATTTTCTCTTCCTCATGTCTCTCTGGATCTGGCGTTTGAATTTTTAGGGTGACAGGGCGAGAATCCTTCACTGGCTCTGTGAGAGCAGACATAGATACAGCTTCCTGCAGTCGTCTCTCTTCTATTTGTGCCAGTGGGATCTCTAGAGGTGCTCCCATCCGTCGGTGCAGGGGCATGGGCTCTGAATCACCCTGGCTAAAGGAAGCACTCTTGCGGAGTATCTTCGTCTTTGGGATGTCATCCTTAGGAGACTCACTGGATGCCGCTCTAACAAGTGGAGGGTTACCAAGGCGAGACCCCCGCACATAGCGCTTCTCATCCCCCATACCTAATGTCTCTAGCAATGGTCCTCGTAATCCACTCATCTTGTTGTCTACAGAGCCACTCCTGAGAAGTCTCTGCCTCATCAGTTCCAATTTCAGGGCATAGTCTTCCTGGCTCAGCTTTGCAGCTCCTGGACTTGGGCTTCTCCTTGGAAGCTCCATAGATACTGACTTTTGTAAAATTCTACTTCCATCGGTAGAGTTTTCTTCTGTGCCCTCCTCTGTTTTGATGTGGAGCTGTAGGGCACTGTCAGCCGAGCTCCCTCTGCGTAACTCTCCTCTGTGACGCACTCCCTCAGGCTCATCTGACTCCATGCTTGAACCTCTGCGCATTGGTCTCTTTGCCTGTTCGGCTATTTTGGCCAATTCTGCTGGTTCTTCATCAGATGAGCCTTTTTCATCTTCTTGCGTTGACCTCTTCCTGGCTCTACCCCTAGCAGTTGCATCTCCACCCTCTCTCTCTGACATCTCCACTTCCATGGGCTCTGACATCTGATGGCTAGAAGCAGGCTTCGCAGCATTTCCATTCGGTCTACCTGTCATTTCATCATCCCCTACAATTTCAGTCAGTGACATTCTAGAACCTGAGAATTCCATGTTTATGGGCATTGGGATAAAAGGCAGCTCATCGATGTCTTCATCTGAATCTGAAGATGATGAAGGTGGTGGTGAGCCTTGTTTCAGATGTCGTGGAACAGCAATGGAAATATGGCTGGAGAAGTCATCCAGTAACTCGGCTATAGACCTCATCACCATCTTAGATTTATAGCTGATAAGAGATCGCTAAAAGAGATAGGCGAACATTGTTACAATGACAGTCTCAAATAATCTATAATGTTTTAAGCACTGAACAAATGTCACTAACATAATCTTACCTGCCATTTTCTTCTGGACAAAAACTTTTTAAGTGAATCTGTGCTGATGCTCTTACCCTTATTCAGGGTCTAAAAGAATGAAATATGTATTTTAACAATGATGGCAAATAACTGTTTCCATTAGAGTTATAGTGAAGAAATACTTTGATCTGAAATGTTTACAACTTAAATTAACTGGCAGATATGTTGTATTCATTTAAGTAACACATTTGGATAGCAATGGGTCTAAAGGAGTATTTCATCTTTACTCCTCTACTCTGTCGTTACCTTGAACCAGGGGTGCCGAAGACATTCATTAGCATCAGGTCTCCTGCAGATAAAACAACATTAAACAAATTGCCAGTTAACACAAAGTGCTCTTAGCAGTAGAAATAATTTTCTCGACAATAAATTATCAACAGGACATTGGTGCAGCAGATAAGAACCCTAGATTCCACTTACAATCTATCAGCCACCAGCAGTTTGATGACGAATCCCTTAGCTTCATGGCAGAGGTCGGTAAACATGCTTTCTTCAAAAGCCACATTATAGTTCCTGATGTTGAGAACAGAACTGCGGTCGTTTTCTCCAGCGAAAGGAGAAACTCCAGTGAGACTGCAAAACAGAGTTGTTGATAAAGTCTAACTGAAGATACTGGTATTAGTGATGAACATTCTAAGTAAATATATAATAAACATATTTTCATAATATACAATTGCAGAACAAAACTCTAAAAAAAACTAATATAATATAATACAATTATATCAATAATTTTATTATAATAGACACAATTGAAATAATCTTACCATAAGTATGTTAGAACTCCAACAGGCCTGTAAGAAAAAAAAAAGTCGAATTGTGAGACACTAATGTATTCATGATACTAGAGGCTGCATACAGATTTGTTCAAGAGCTGTTTTGTGATGGAGGGACCAGGTGCGTTACCAGATGTCTGTTGCTTTGGAGACGGGTGTCTGGTTAACAATCTCTGGGGCGACAAATTCTGGAGTGCCATATTTGCAGTACTGTGCCTCATCAGGCGTGCACTTTACAGCATTTCCAAAATCACATATGCGGATCTGATCACTACTAGGGTCTGCCATGAGGATATTATCAGGCTGAGCGGAAAAAAAAAAGAGTCTAGCCAACACATCCTTACCGTGATTATTGCTTACTTATGGAAGTAAATGGTAATGACAGCAAATTACATAACATTTACCTTTATGTCTAGATGAAGTATGTCATGCTGATGAAGATAGCTAATACCCTCCAACAGCTGCCTCACGCTGGATCGGATCTGCAGTAAACAATTCAGACAGTTTAGGGACACGTCACTTTTGCTAGTCCTGTCCCTACAGAAATTCTCTGAGTAAATCTGAAAAGAATCCATTCTTTATCCTCTAGATAACTAGAGGATGCAAAGACAAATGGTCCACAACAAACCAAATGTGACAAACCGGAACAAAATAGTCTGCTCAAACATTTGAAACTTTTCTGGTCACTTTGAAAGATCAAACTGGTTCACCCACCTCTGACTCCATTACTATTGATTTCTTTGTAAGCCTTTCGAGAAGCTCCTCATGGCATCTTTACACATTGTCAAGGACAATCACAGTGATGGGGCAAAGCTTGTGATCAACTCATCATCACTACAAAATGTGAGAGGAAGTTGTAATTGTGCCAGATTGGATGCGAGATAGTGTATACAGCAGGGTCCAAAAATCTGTCCACAAGTGAAAATGCATCTATGTTACATACCAGTTCTATTTAATACAATTTTCATCACAAATTATATAATAATAATAATAGTATAAGTTCACAGTTGAATTGAACAATTAACATCTGTCTTAGTATTTGTTTTGTTTTTCTTTTGCAACCTAGAAGTAATGCAAAACCTTACTATTTCTTATTCGTTTTACACACTTTTATGTGTTTTCAATTTTTTAAAAGGCTAAAATTTTCTGCTCAAACTTGATTTGAATTTCAGATTTTCAATATGGACTCAAGACTTTAAGACTCCACACTGTGATTGTATCAATATAAGTGCATGTTTTATGTAAGTATCCTTTCTTTGCGTGTCTTCCCAGGAGACTCTGTCCTGAAGGACACATATTCCAACTATTTGTGACAGTCAAAGCACAGATGGACCGAAACCATACACACCGGAACGATTCTAAGGCAGATGACTAAGGCAGGTGTGAATATATAGGGTACAGATTACACAAGCATTTTTCTGTATGACTGACTCACAATGAACTACAAGATAATAGTTCGTCATGACAAACTTTGAATGTCACAGAGTTCAAAATAAAAACATAACTTCATTTAATTAAACTTGCTTTTATAGTCGGTGATCCCTAAAGCTCTAACAAAGGATACAGCTCTGTAATGATGATGACTGCATTCTTCTTCTCAAAGGCATCGTGAAAGTAGAGGATCCTCTCATGGTCTAGATGAGACAGGATGTTCAGCTCTCTCAGAGCGGAGGCCTTCCGTTTAGCCCGAGCAGAAATGAACTTGGCTGCATATTCAATCTTTCCCGCCTTCTGTATCACTCGTTTCACATATGAGAACGCCCCTCTAAGGAAAGAACATTTCTCATCAAATCATAGAAAATGAGAATATTTGTTTGGGAAAAAGGTGAAAAAATGGTTTATTAATTAACAGCAAACTAACTGATAATCAGTGGAACAATAGCATGATTCAACCAATGAAAAGATTGTGTCAAAGAAAATATAAGTAATTAATGCTTATTTAATTTAAATGTAATGTGTTAAAATTATGCTTTTGCAGTTTTGTTGCATGCCACTAGTAGCACAGAAATTACACTCTTCACTTTTAAAAATGACCAGTCTAATTGAATAAAGATTTATTGCAATTCACAGTAACATGACTTTGTAATACCTGTTTTTTGGTACAATACTACAAATATAAATGGTTGTTTTAATGTTATTTTTCCAGTTTCTTTGGTGTACAATACCAGTCCATCAATTAACTCTGCTCATACCCTCATTGCTGTAATGTAATTGTGTTTGCCTAGTCTCACCATAGGCAATACTTTGTGTTACATAATAGCACCAAAACCTAGTGAATTCTTCATTCATTTTTTATGATTCCTTATAAAAAAATGTTTCTTGAGCACCAAATCATCATATTAGAATGATTTCTGAAGGATCATGTGACACTGAAGACTGTTGACTGCTGAAAATTCAGCTTTCCCATCACAGAAATAAATAATGAGATTGAAAAGAGACGTTTGAATATGAATATGTTTAAAGAGTAATAATATGTCACAATATTACTGTTCTTGCTGTATTTTGATCAAATAATTTCAGCCCTGGTGAGCATAAGAGACTTTCAAAACATCAAAAAATCTTACCGACCCCAAACTTTTAAATAGTGTTGTACGTACAGAAAAATATTGTGTAAAATACTCAATTTTGAACATTCACATCAACATTTTTCAGTATTGAATGAAACGCATAATCAACTTTTTCTGTTCACCATCTGTGGTCAAAATGTTGCCAAAAGATACAAAGCATCAAAAAGTGCACCTATGATGCCTTAACATCCTTTTAGAGCAGACAGCTCACTAGGTTTTGGAAAAGAGCTATTATGTGTGTAGTGCTGTAGCATGTGTCGGTTTGCAGCGTGTTCAGGTCTTAATAGAACGGTGGCAGTCGGCCATGAAGATTATAATTAAAGCACAGAGAGAGTGACAGCATGCAGAGCAGAGATACAGCGCCACAATGGCTGCACTCCCCTCCGCCCAGTCGAGCGCTCAGTGTACCACTGTGTCAAACAAATAACCCTCCCTTTAAAATGTGGCTTTGACCATCATATATTAAGCAGTTTCAAAGTCGCATTGATGCTGATCTGGGGTGCGTTTCCCAAAAGCATAGTTAGCTAACTATGGTCGTTAGTTCCATTGAACTCTATTTGGTAACAACGGAACTTACGACCATAGTTGCTTTTGGGAAACTCACCCCGACATGGTTCAAAACTGGTATGGTTTGAGAAGCATGTTGAGTAAATCCATGAATATGCAAGTGGCTTTAGAAGCTAATGTACTGTTTATGTCCATATTATTGAACATATTGCCTTAAACTGACAGCCCTAATATTTATATAAAGTGGTTATGGGTAGTTATTCAATACAGAAGCTGCACAAACCTTATTAAAAAATCTGTATGAGGCACAGAGATCCCATTTTTTATAACCTGGGAAATTTCAAGGGTCTTGAGGCCTCTTCTGAAGTGGCTGAATCATTCTTTGATTGTGGAGCTTGAAATTGCATACTTCCCTACTAAAAGTGCATTTGTAATAATGTGCCAACCCTTTCCTCGGCTGAAGCTTTATTAAACCTTAGGCGTGTGTGATGAGTCAGAAGACCTGAGATCTGTCATCAGCGAGAGCTGATGGAGTTGGCTTTTTGAATTTCTAGGCCGACAGAGGAAATCATTAGAGATAAATGGTGCATGTCCAAGTGAGGCTCCGGGCGGATGACTCACCTCCCAATTTCCTTGTGCACATCATAGTAATCAGTGAGCCTCCGCATCTTTCTTAGGATGGACGCCTCATCCACCATGGGGTCGTCTTTGTACTCTTTAACTAGACACAGAAAGCCGTGAAAAAGCCAGTCAAATGAATTGGCAAGTTTTGCTTGATCAGGCTACACATGCACTACGGGTTTAATAGTTGCTTATTTTCAAGTTTTTCTGAAACATTTCACCACCATTTTAATATAAACAAAATAAATATATTTGAATAAACAAAATAAATATGTATTGTTTTTATTACTTTTTTATTCCAAGTGTGCATACAGTATGTAAATAAATTGTTTGAAACTTTATTGTATGTTTTGTTGTGCTTTGTTAACATTATTTTTTGTTTTAGAACAATATTTATTGTAAAAAAAAAAAAAGCTAAAAACGTACGTCTGTGCAATTAATTAAAAAAAATGTATATTTTCCGATAATATTCTGAAATAATATGATTAAAGATACATACCTTTGTACACTTAATCTTACAGTCTCATTCAGTATAAATAATAATAACATTTTATAAAAACTTTGTATTTTTAGGAAGGGGGTCACTTGCAAACAGAGTGGGTTCTTGGCAACAAAAAATTCATAATTGTAATCTTAAGTTAATTATTAATATCCTCATAATTTCAGAAACTCGTTGGAACTGGTGGAGGACCCATCACCCATACAAAATGTTATCTTTGGCCCCACAACAGTGCTGGATTCATCACTTTGTTCCATCTCATCTGGTTAGGACACCAGGTTGCAGTAAGGTGGTGGTGAGTCAACATGCTTAGAAACAACCTCCTTCATTAAAGTGAAAGTGCTTACCGATGTGGACAGTCAGCTCAGCCTTGCAGGACACAGAACCGGCCAGATTCTTAGCAGTACAGGTGTAAACTCCTGAGTCATCGGCTTGAGTGTTCAGTACCACTAGAGAACATTCATTGTCATCGTACACAAATGTGAAATGGCTGCTTTCGGACAGCAGGGTGTCTCCCTGAAAATCAGAAAAACGTCTGAGTGGCCATCCAACGGTTGTGATTTGAATTTAAAATGCATTCGTGTGGGTTTAAGGTGAACAGGGTAGTGAGGAATCAAATAAAAGGCAAAGCCTTGAGGCAGGAGATGGAATAACCAACAGTATCATTCAAAGCATAAATTAGTAGGGATGTAACGATTCACTCAACTCACGATTCGATTCGATTCACGATTTTGGTTTCACGGTTCGATTTGATTCACGGTTATTATAATTTTTTTTAACAAAATTAGATTTAAGACAAATTATAAATTAAATGTGTCCTTTTATTATTGCTTGGACAAAATGCTGCACATTTCTTTGTGAAATTTAAATATAATACTATAATAATATACTAATATAGCACTTGCATATTACTACTCTTTTGTTGCGGCTCGCGGTTAATCGTTACATCCCTATAAATTAGTATGATTTACAGGATGTGATAATGCTCTCAGTGATATGACTCAAGAAAATATGAGGCAAGCAGTGTTAGTGAGAGATCAGCAGGTGAGGCTGAAAAGGTTTGACTTCTAAATCTGAATAAAAGTCAGATCAGCCTTTAAAGTTTTTAATTAAGTTTATCTTTAATGATTTTTTTTTCTGGTGTACATGGGAAATAGAAAAGAGCTGAACCTTCAGCTAAACCCTCAGTGACTATAACTGATATGAAAACAACAAACAACTACCACAGCATGAGTGTCAGGAAAGGCTTATGGTGAAACAGCAAGAATTTTTGGTTTCAAAGAATTGGGGTTTTTAAAAACAAATCTAAAGCCAAGTGCTCCCAGCTGCCCTCTGTAAAATTTGTACATTTATTTTTATATTTATAATGGTAAAAGAAAAATATATTAAGAAATTTTTGCACTTATAATGTTTATTATTTATAATGTAAATTGTTTCTTTGGGTCAAAAACAGTTTTTTCAATTTAAATGGGGTATTTTTTATTACTATTTAAATGCCCAGTTCGCAAGCTGCGATTTTGATGAGTATTACAGGTTTTCACTGCCACAAATCTAGATTTATTAAAAGAGAACAATATATAATAGAATATAAATCCTCAAAAACTATTTTCTAATGAAATGATACGTGCACTGCAACACAAACACACACCTTATACCAGAGGATATCTGGGACAGGCTTTCCTTCAACCACCACTGCAAAACGAGGAGTCTCGCCTACATTCACATCCAGGTCTTCCATGATGGTCTCAAAAGTTGGCGCCACTAGATACAGAGAAATCAATGAGACTCAGAATATGTGCAATAATAAGAAACTCATCCAGTTTGTATTCTGTACACAGCAACATACCTGCCATTTCCAGGGTTAGGGTGCAGGAGTCGCTGCCATACTTGTTGCTGGCGATGCAGGTGAGCTGACCAACATCACTGCTCTTTACCTTGCACAGATTCAGTGTATGCTGGTCATCATCAGGCATGCTCAGCTCAAACAGACCCAGTCTGTTAGACAATGTCACTCCTCCTCTGAAAATATAATGGCAAATAACTGCTCGTTTTCTTTTGTTCAACTACATTCACATGTCCTTGCAAAAGCAAACGCAAAATAGTTTAGGTTATATGACTACACAATTTAATAGATGCAAGAAACAAAAGACAAAACAGAATGCAAATAGGTGTAAAACTGAGAAAACTGTTTAGGGATTCTGAACAAACCCTAACCCCTTAAATTATAGCAACAAAGAATTTTTAGCATAGGAAAACTTGTACTGCACGTCTTTATACAATCAAAGTTACCCTGGGAATCATGATTTGAAAAGGATGGAAGGCATAAAACAATGATTAATTTTTTTTCTGATCATGACACAAAGATATTGTATGGATTCAGAGACTTGCAGCAATGCCAATGAGTCATATGTACTACTATAATGGTACTTTGTCAATTTTGAGGCTTGCAAGTATAAATTCCCACTTTTCATGTATGTAAAAAAGCAGCTCTGACATTCTTATAAATATCTCCTTTTGTATTAGATTTAAGAAACAACATGAAGAAGTGTAAATGATGACAGAATTTTCATTTTTGAGCATTTTTATCCTTTTAAATGTTGTATTTATCAACAGTCCTACAGTTTATGAATAATTATTAGCCATAACAAAAAAGTATATGGCCTATAATTAATTTAACACAAATCAAAATGCATTTCCTGAAATGCCAGTGCTTTTCTAACTTCACTCATAAATGTCTGAAAATGTATAAAGTCACATATTATGAAACAGAACAAACCCTAACCAGTTTTATATTAATAGAGTGCTGTATTAATCATAACAACAAAGAATTATTAACACATGAAAAATTGCACAATGTCTATTCTAAAAAAAAAAAAACGCAGCTATCATGTTTATCATAATTTGAAAGGGTGGAAGTCAGGACTTTTATTTAATAATCATATGGACAAATATGGTGCTTTTTTTGTCGTGAAGCTGGCAAATATATATATATCCAACCACTTTTGTTGTATGTAAAAGAGCAGCTCAGACATTCTGCTAAAGATCTTTTTTGTGTTTTACAGAAGAAACAACATGAGGATGAGTAAATGAGAGTATTTTAATTTCAGCGGTTTAGCCCTTTACGTTTTGTATCAACAGTTTCATAAATTACGAATAATTATTAGGCATAGCAAAAATGAACCCATTCCAAAATGATTCAATGCAATCAAAATGCAAAATACCTCTTCCATGTGACCGATGCATTGACATGGTTGAGAGTCGCTGTGATGCTTAAGGGCTGCTTCTCCACCATATATACAATGTCCGGCTTGTCAATAATTACAGGAGCCTCCTGGAGGTACGGACCTGCAGACGGAGAGATAAAAGCCAGTCTCCTGCAGTAACTCATACATCTCATTAACCCGTCTGACTGTGGCTGTCCTTGTCTGCTGAGGCATACCTCTATCTAGCAGCTGCACTGGCTCGGTGGCAGGCGATGGCTTGCTAAAGGCCTTGCTGGTGATTGATAGCACCCTGAAGGCGTAGCGGACACCTTTAGACAGATTGGTAATGGTATAGGTGGTCTGTTTCAGGCAAGAAGCGATGATGGTCCACTGGATTGACCCTAGAGCTTGCTGCTGAACAGCATACATCAGGGAGCTAGGATCTGGAAATCAAAATCAAAATCGTTTTGCGTTAAGTTTGAAAGCCAAAACCATAAAAGGAAATCTGATTACTTCCGATACATTTTTCAAATACACTGCAAAGAGAGGAACAGCATTTGACAATATGGAACAAGGACACATGGCTTAGGCAGTCAATTCAGCAGTAAATCTGTGATTGTTTCCAACAACATCACCAAGACATAGAATATCTGTTGGAAAGCAATAAATAAAATGTTACGGTACCACAGTGCTAGTAAACTATATTTAGCTGGTGGCCATACTTGGAAATGTGTTAAGGAAATAAGAGGAGGTCAGGTTAATCATCTGTGATGTTATCCAACTAGCGTCACCACACTGTTGCTCTATCAATATTTACTGTACATTTAATATAAAGAGATGCCAATAGAGTGACTCTTGGAAATAAAAATCACAAATGAGATCTCTTTAATGGAAGAGTTCACCCATCATCTAAAATTTGTTAAATTCAATCACTTTTGTTACACAAAGCTGTCATATGACTTTAGAAGACTTAAAACATAGTGCAAAGGTTTCATAATTATGATGCTTCTGTGGTGCTTTTGAATCACGTTTGAAGCTTGAAAGCATCAGTTTCTATGCATTGTAACTGCATGGAAAATAGTGATCATTAAATGTTGTACATCATTAAAAATTTCTTCATTGGTTGGCGAAAGAAATGCATACAGGTTTGAAATTACATGAAAGGCAACAGAAATTTCCATTATTGTCAAACTAATCCTTTAATTTCTCTGTTTCTCCAAAACCACACTAAGATTAAGAAGAGAGCCACTGATCACAAAAAAAGTAGTCCCGTCCCAAACTTACACTATTGGTTGAACCTTATCAAGTTGTAACTGTGGTTCAATTAGTGGTTCAGAAATGACACACTTCACTTTAAGGAGCCTTGTTTCTCTGATTTTGCGCTTAAAAGCCCAATAATCTCAAATTTCTCTTTAGAGTTTCAGATATGTCAATAAGTCTCATTTGTGTTTTTTTTTTTTCATTTCCTCTAAAGCATTTTAGGGAAACATCTGAGAAACAATGGATATTTAAATGAAACATAACTGGGAACTCCATTAAGAATAACTCTATTATCCTACAGCTATGAAAGAGCAACCACTGACCAATTAAAATGTTCCTTTGGGGAACAGTATAAGAACAGTTTCAAAATTAAATGAATATACATAAATAACATGCATAATTATACCAATGGACGGATCCAGTCTTCTGGGTTTCTTCCAGCTTAGTGTGATAGTCTTGCCAGTGATGGACTCAATAACTGGGGCCCCATCTGGCGGGTCAGGAAGGATGTCTAAAACGGCAAAAGTGTCAGTCAGAATATTTATTTGGTGCCAGAGTCGTCTCTCGCTATTTTTCACACATGCACACATATGCTTCAGTCTTAAAATAAATTGTAGTATTACTTTGAACAGTCTGGGATGTGGAAAAGATCAGAAATAACAGGGTGACTACAGATATGAACAAGTTTTTAAGATTTTTTTAAAGATATATATAAAAAAAAAAATTTAATACCACCTTATGTGAAATTTAAGACCAAACCTGTGATGGAAATACACATTATATTACATACGTATATGTAATATTTAATGTATGATGCATTGACGTGGTTGAGAGTGACTGTGATGCTTAAGGGCTGCTTCTCCACCATATATACAATGTCCGGCTTGTCAATAATTACAGGAGCCTCCTGGAGGTACGGACCTGCAGACGGAGAGATAAAAGCCAGTCTCCTGCAGTAACTCATACATCTCATTAACCCGTCTGACTGTGGCTGTCCTTGTCTGCTGAGGCATACCTCTATCTAGCAGCTGCACTGGCTCGGTGGCAGGCGATGGCTTGCTAAAGGCCTTGCTGGTGATTGATAGCACCCTGAAGGCGTAGCGGACACCTTTAGACAGATTGGTAATGGTATAGGTGGTCTGTTTCAGGCAAGAAGCGATGATGGTCCACTGGATTGACCCTAGAGCTTGCTGCTGAACAGCATACATCAGGGACCTAGGATCTGGAAATCAAAATCAAAATCGTTTTGCGTTAAGTTTGAAAGCCAAAACCATAAAAGGAAATCTGATTACTTCCGATCCATTTTTCAATTACACTGCAAGGAGAGGAAACTGTGCTTGACAATGTAGAACAAGGACACTGAAATTTTATGGCTTAGGCAGTCAATTCAGCAGTATATCTGTGACTGTTTCCAACAACATCACCAAGACATAGAATATCTGTTGGAAAGCAATAAATAAAATGTTACTGTACCACAGTGCTGGTAAACTATATTTAGCAGGTGTCCATACTTGGAAATGTGTTAAGGAAATAAGAGGAGGTCAGGTTAATCATCTGTGATGTTATCCAACCAGTGTCACCACACTGTTGCTCTATCAATATTTACTGTACATTTAATATAAAGAGATGCCAATAGAGTGACTCTTGGAAATAAAAATCACAAATGAGATCTCTTTAATGGAAGAGTTCACCCATCATCTAAAATTTGTTAAATTCAATCACTTTTGTTACACAAAGCTGTCATATGACTTTAGAAGACTTAAAACATAGTGCAAAGGTTTCATAATTATGATGCTTCTGTGGTGCTTTTGAATCACGTTTGAAGCTTGAAAGCATCAGTTTCTATGCATTGTAACTGCATGGAAAATAGTGATCATTAAATGTTGTACATCATTAAAAATTTCTTCATTGGTTGGCGAAAGAAATGCATACAGGTTTGAAATTACATGAAAGGCAACAGAAATTTCCATTATTGTCAAACTAATCCTTTAATTTCTCTGTTTCTCCAAAACCACACTAAGATTAAGAAGAGAGCCACTGATCACAAAAAAAGTAGTCCCGTCCCAAACTTACACTATTGGTTGAACCTTATCAAGTTGTAACTGTGGTTCAATTAGTGGTTCAGAAATGACACACTTCACTTTAAGGAGCCTTGTTTCTCTGATTTTGCGCTTAAAAGCCCAATAATCTCAAATTTCTCTTTAGTTTCAGATATGTCAATAAGTCTCATTTGTGTTTTTTTTTTTTCATTTCCTCTAAAGCATTTTAGGGAAACATCTGAGAAACAATGGATATTTAAATGAAACATAACTGGGAACTCCATTAAGAATAACTCTATTATCCTACAGCTATGAAAGAGCAACCACTGACCAATTAAAATGTTCCTTTGGGGAACAGTATAAGAACAGTTTCAAAATTAAATGAATATACATAAATAACATGCATAATTATACCAATGGACGGATCCAGTCTTCTGGGTTTCTTCCAGCTTAGTGTGATAGTCTTGCCAGTGATGGACTCAATAACTGGGGCCCCATCTGGCGGGTCAGGAAGGATGTCTAAAACGGCAAAAGTGTCAGTCAGAATATTTATTTGGTGCCAGAGTCGTCTCTCGCTATTTTTCACACATGCACACATATGCTTCAGTCTTAAAATAAATTGTAGTATTACTTTGAACAGTCTGGGATGTGGAAAAGATCAGAAATAACAGGGTGACTACAGATATGAACAAGTTTTTAAGATTTTTTTAAAGATATATATAAAAAAAAAAATTTAATACCACCTTATGTGAAATTTAAGACCAAACCTGTGATGGAAATACACATTATATTACATACGTATATGTAATATTTAATGTATCAAATATATCATCACTGTCAACAATGCTATTCATTATTATGATATACAGCGAACTTTTCATATCAGCAGACAATATCCCATACAAATTTAAAAAAAGCACCGCATCACCAAGATTTTTGGTGTTAATGTATCAAATATATCATCACTGTCAACAATGCTATTCATTATTATGATATACAGTGAACTTTTCATATCAGCAGACAGTATCCCATACAAATTTAAAAAAAGCACCGCATCACCAAGATTTTTGGTGGTGTAAACAATTTATTCCGAAGCAATATTTTCATCAGTGTTCTATCAGCTTTTACACACTTAAAAAAACGTAAATGTTTTTAATATTTACCCCAGGATGTTATTTACCTTTATAAAGACCAATATTTTTTAACCTTATTAAATGTATGCGTCATCTTTCATGTCAAATTCTTACAATTAATCAAGAAATTCAACATACTCTACCGGGCTGTTAACAATCAAATTAAATAATTTACACTGCAAAAAAAAAAAAAATCACATCTATTTTTTGGTTTTTACTCTGGGAACTTGTGTAATATGCATGTTTAATGTGTCAATACTGTAGTCACTAATCCTTGAAATCATGTAGAGATGATGTTCAGATTGTGGCCAAAATATTATCATAATACACAGTAATATATAAAAAATGTGCATGACAGGTTTTTTTTTCTTTTTCTTTTTTACTTAGCCTTTTTTAAGATACTCTTTTTCCTAAATATAATATATTGGAATATATTTCCAATATATTCAATATTGTCAAACATAGCTAACAGAAGCCACTGATATATTAAAGGGGTCATATGATGCGTTTTCAATTTTTCCTTTCTCTTTGGAGTGTTACAAGCTCTTGGTGCATAAAGACATTTCAAACTTTTTTCTGAAGTGTTAGATATAAACCCGCAATTGCAAGAAAAAAGTCAAAATTGTGAGATAAAAAGTCAGTTACCTTTTAATGTTTTTAATTCTTTATTCCTTTATCCGACTTCTCAAAATGTTGACTTTTTTCTTGCAACTACTTTTCTTGCATCTCAAAATTCAGACTTTTCTTCTCAGAATTATATCTCACAATTCTGTCTATTTCTCTCAGAATTGTTTGTCGCAATTCTGAGTTGATATTTCGCAATCTGACTTTTTTCTCAGAATTGCAAGAAAAAAGTCACTATTACCTTTTTATTTATTTTTTTATTTCTTATTCCTTGTGGCGACTTTTCACAATTTGGACTTCTTCCTTGAAATTGATAGTTTATATCTCACAATTCAGACTTTTTTTCTCAGAATTATTTCTCAGTTCTGAGTTTATATCTCGCAAAAGAAGAAGAACTTTCATTTTTGGGTGAACTAAACCTGTAAAACAAGGTCTGAGTGAATCATTAGTCACAAGGTCATACATTTGAGAGGATATTGCTGGTCTGGGCTCCTGCACATATAGCTCCGCTGCGCACTCATCCTCTCCGTGTGAGTTCCGTGCTACTACTGTGTAGAGACCCTCATCTTCATTATTAACATGAGAGATGATTAATGAGTGCCGTCCACCTTCTTTTACGATCCGAATGTCTTCGCTTTCCTCCAGCGGATGATCTGTTGAAGACATGACACACAAATGACTCAACCATCTTGATGTTACTTTACAGGACTGACACTGGGAGGCACTCAAGGGAATTAGATTCATACCAAAGTGGCTCCAGATGACCTGAGGAGGTGGCGTCCCACTGACCTTGCAGTCAAATCGAGCATTACGACCCTCTATAACTTCTAGTACATCCAGTTTACGGGTGAAGAGGGGCTCTATGGATGCTACGACCTTTAGCTTGGCACTAGAGGTCAGCTCCTCTGTAATTCACATGACATGTGAAGTGAAATTGACCATTTGAGCTGCTCATGTCATGAAACCTTTGGCAAAAAGGGTCATCCTTATAACCCTAGCAACATGTTTATTTATGGGCTTAAAACGGGCAGTTTCTTTTGTTGCTACAGCATGTTTTAAGGAATAGTTCACTCAAAAATAAAAACTCATTATTGTCATTATTTTCTCACCTTCATGTTGTTCCAAACCTGTATGACTTTCTTTATTCTATGGAACACAAAAGAAGATATTTTGAAAAATGTGTTTATTTTGTCCATGCATTGTTGTTTTGGACTGCATTGACAAAAAAAACAGTTGAAAAATATATTTTTTTGTCAGATTTTAAACAACATGAGGGTGAGGGTGAACTATCCCTTAAAGCTTTCTGAGCACAACAGTCCACTCTGAAATATATTTATGGGCTTAAAACGGGCAGTTTCTTTTGTTGCTACAGCATGTTTTAAGGAATAGTTCACTCAAAAATAAAAACTCATTATTGTCATTATTTTCTCACCTTCATGTTGTTCCAAACCTGTATGCCTTTCTTTATTCTATGGAACACAAAAGAAGATATTTTGAAAAATTTGTTTATCTTGTCCATGCATTGTTGTTTTGGACTGCACTGACAAAAAAGCAGTTGAAAAATATATTTTTTTGTCAGATTTTAAACAACATGAGGGTGAGGGTGAACTATCCCTTAAAGCTTTCTGAGCACAACAGTCCACTCTGAAATATGCTGGTCAAACTGTATAGGCCAGACTGAAATAATCATGATGATTGTTAAAAAATAAACTTCAGTTGCAGAGTAGCAGGTGCTACACCCAGCCAAGAAATTGTCATTCCTCATGATACAGTATGACTCGTTTAATGTGTGGACCAATACCAAGCTGCTCACCTTTGGCTGTGCTTAGTTTGCACGTGTATGTTCCACTGTCATCCTCATGTACAGAGTTAAGCAGCAGCCTGCACCTTTTCCCGTCAAAGTGCATCTTACAGTTCAACAGAGCTGGTTGGATGAGTTTCCCATCTGACAGCCAATCAACATCTGTGTCCTGTGGGCCGATCACATGACACTCGAACAAGGCAGTCTCCCCTGCCTTCACCATCATGTCCCTCACTGGCCGAATGATGGCCAGGCCTGGCTCTATTGGACGAGCTGGAGGAAAAAAACCATAAGGATCAACTAAAGAGTGGTGAAGAAAAGAAAAACCCTATAAGAAAATCCAGAGCTTAAGTTTAAAGCGCACAGGAGTCTTTGCATGTGCCTAATCTGCTACAGATATAAAAGACAGTCTGCTAATAGCATGTGTTGTACAGCAGAGCAAAGGTGTCTGTCAGCAGAATCCGTTCAAGGCTCAGTACGGATCAGCTCAAAATTATACCTAGAGTGCAAAATTATAAAACTTTCAGACTTATAAAACTTACACTGATCTTAAAATGTATATTATGCCAAGGATAAGCAAATGCATATTAAACCAAGGGAACATTTATTTGATTAAAAATACAGTAAAAACTGTATTACTGTGAAATACTATTACAATTTAAAATGACAATTTTAATACATTTTAAGATACATTGCAAATCTTAATTCAGCAGCTATTACTTCAGTCTTCAGTGTCAAATGATCTGTCAGAAATCATTCTGATATGTTGATTTGGTGCTGATAAAAGTATGAATTTTTTTCCTTCATAACTCAATCTTACTGACCCCAAACTTTTGAACGGTAATGTATATATTAAATATGCTTTAATATTATATAAATTATAGTTAGATTTGAATAAAACACTGTAAAAATTGAAAAATATATTTTTTAACAACACTGATGCAAAGCTTCTAAAAGATGCATTAAAAGGCAAAACTGCATTAAAGTCTAAACTGTATTTACTGCATAGAAATCATTGAGAGAAAATTATACAACCACTAAAAAATTTTTAATTATATTAAACCAAGGTATGACCATTTCTTCTGCAGTCATGTAAAAGCTACTCGCATTATGTATTCAAACACATTCACTGACTTGCACTGAAATCAGCTGCTGCATTAATTATTTGAAAAATCCTATTTATTAAATATTCAAAAGGTGATAAGCAGTGTTGAGGAAGCTACAAACTGAAGTACTTCAACTACAGTGATTTTCAGGGTAATGAACCTATGAATGGCTTATTTATATTTGTCACTGCATATTAAGCTGAGCAAGAAGAAAGTATTTTAACGATGAAAATGACACATCATCTTTAAGAAACAGTACAGAATTATCAACACTTGGGTCTCCGTGATTTATCATGCTTGTGATTCATTAATGCACACAAACCATGCAAGACTAGCTGAAACCCTTACCTTTCACCTCCAGTTTGCCCTCACACTGTTTAGTCCCATACTCGTTGATGATCTTGCAGGTGTAAACACCAGAGTCTGACTTCTGTGCCGATTTAATTATAATTTCAAAGTTGCCCTCTTCTGTCTCATGGACGATATGCCGTGCATCCGTTTTAATGGTTACTCTGTCTCTCAGCCTGATACAAAGGAAAATAAAAGTTTAGTTATGACACAATATATCAAAATGAACAAAGAGTCCATACTGTTTAAAACAATATTATGAGTTGTTTAATCTAGACAAATAAAGGTAAAGATTTTAACGCACCAGTAAAGCATGGGTTTAGGCTGTCCACTCACTCGAACAGACATTTTCACCTCTTGACCCTCTATAACTGTTTGGTCTCCAATAACAACCTATTATGTTGGTAAACACAGAGGCTCATTATTGGTTTGTAAAGATAATAGAAACTAAAAATATTAAATGCAAATGTGCAGATAATACGAACCCCTACAGTGACATGTTGATGGTAAAAAAAAAAAATTGAGATGGGAGGAAAAGTAATTTTTCAATGATTTTGCGTTTTCTCCTACAGTCTATGGTTTTCTCACAAAACTTTGGCATTCCCCTGAAAAAAAAATTGCTTGAAAAACTATTCCATTCCCCAAAAAAACTTCGCATTTGCTCAATAAACATTTGTGATAGAAATAAAATGAAGTGGAAGGATGCGAACAAACTTTTCTTGGGGGAACACAATACTTTTGCGAGAGAACCCAAGAGCATTTTTCCTCCCATCTTACGTTTTTTTCATGACCATTTTTTACATGCACAAAAATATCCAGAAAACTAATCAGCATCTCCATGTTTTCCCAAAAGAAAAAAAAGAATAGCAGGAATGGTCATGTTTAAGATTATTTTGATTATGAGGATTACATGTTCATATGGATATTCCAATCGCTATTGAGCATCTAAACGTCTTTTCGGGAATAGAAATGGGATCTTCCTTATTTGGAAAATGTGCATGTAAAAGTGCTCAATGATGTATTCTGATATAATATTTTAGTATTATCTGATACCTGAAATGATGGAGGCTCCTTGAATCGAGTATCCACGATCTTCCTCGGCTCAGGTCCCCTGTAGGAGGAGAAATCCATCCCCTCCTCAAGAGGACTGAGGTACTCCTCATCAGATGTGATGGGACTGTTTTTTTCATGACCATTTTTTACATGCACAAAAATATCCAGAAAACTAATCAGCATCTCCATGTTTTTCCAAAAAAAAAAAAGAATAGCAGGAACCCACGCTGGTCCTGACTGGGCTCTGTGAGAAACACCAATGGGATTGGAGTGGATTTTACAAGCAATACTTACAGATTTGCATGTTTACATCTCCACACTTTGGCAACCTTTAACAAGTATAGTCAACACTCATCTCAATAACGCCATTAAAAACATCTGTAGAACATTATGATTTTATTTACTGTTTGTTCAAAAACATCACAGATGTAAAATTCACAGAGAATTACTTTTTGTTTTTGGCTCTGACAGAGAGAAATGGATTAGAAAGGTGACGACGGGTAAAAGACATGGGCCGAATACAAATCAGGATCCCTGAAGAGAAAGGATACTGTAATCCCAAATCCAATCTCAGAAAGGTCCAGTGACAACGTGAATGCCAGCGCTGGGGACAGATTGCTTTCAAAAAGCATCACAAAAACAGAGGATGAAGAAGATTTACTCAGAAGAGTGTCTAACAACAAGTTTGTTATGCTATGTAGGAAATTTTAAAGGATTTTCAGTGGCATTCATATGATCATATTCATTCGTATTTTGCGTCCTGTTTTCTCATTGTGTTTCATTCTAATTTTTCACTTGTACTAGTGTTTGTCATTTTTGTTTATTATATTGGTGTTTTTCTTTTCTAATTGTATCTTTACTGTAAAGTGTCCTTAAGCACTGGAAAGGCTCTATATAAATAAAACATTATTATTATTATTATCAGAAGACAAGGAATGTGATTTTACAGCTGTGCTCATTACATTAGCATGTAGGTTCATGGCTGTGATGTAAACTAAAAGCTATTGGCTATTTAACCCTCTAACTCTTCTGTAGGTCCTGCTTCAACTTCATGTTTCAACAAACAGTAATGAAATCAGTGATAATTGAGCCATTTGCAGCCATCAATGTAAAGCTAAACTGTTGATGTTGATTTACAAATGGACATACAGAAATAAGCTACTGAACTGAGGCCTCATTTCACAGACAGGGTTTAGGTTAAGCCAGTATTAGGTCATAGTTCAATTAGGACATTTAAGTATCTTTTATAAACGTGCCTTAGAAAATAACATTACTCATGTGCATCTTGAGACAAAACAATGGCACTGACATATTTTAAGATCAGTCAATGCATGTTTCATTCAGGTAAAACAGCCCAGACATGCATTTTAGTCTAGGACTAAGCCTTGTCTGTGAAATCGGGGGTGAGAGTCATTCCTTAAGTGAGGTACATGTGTAAACACTTGAAACCGTTTGACATGAGAGGCCCGAAGCCACGGCGTGCAATGAGACTCGGCAATGTATGTACCAGGAGAAAAAATAGACACCATGTCTCTTCTTACACACAGCTTAGAGCATATATATTACCGTGAACCCGGGTATGATTCTAATTTCAAAGCGGTAACATTTTCAAGAACACCAAATGTCTCAAAGGCAGTGATTACTTTCACTTTTTACAAAAGAAAAAAAAAATGAACTTTTAAAACAAACGGAGTATTCTAAAAATTAGAAAAATCAAAGCTTGGTCAAATTCTGTAATATTGTACCATTCTTTGAAAACCCACCATGCAAATTCTTGAACACAAACCTACCTGGCCCTGCTCCTTCACCCAGACCTTGGCCATGTACTAAGCCAAAACCGAGTGCACCAGCACATGTTCAGTCCCAGCAGTATTTGTATAAATATGTCAGCACCTTAGTGAATGCCCCCAGATTTCAACTGGTAATCTGGTGCAGGCACTATGTCTTCTGTACCCTCCCTTGCTCTTTCTCTCTGGCTCTCTCACTTTCAATAAGACACTACCTCTCACATTTACATCAGCACAAACAGATCCAGATGTCCTCCATTTTTTCCATTCAAGTCAAAGGAACTGCCATAAAATACTTCTCATAGCAACCATCCTATTTATATGCCTCTAACAAACTCTGTCACTTCTGCTGTAGCTCAGCAAACCTACTATAGTAGCATGAACTAAAGAAAATTACTTTCATGTAAGTCTTTCCTCTGTCAATAAAATGGTTCTTGAAATTTCTCAGGAGCAACTGTTTAGCTGTTGTGTCACTGTGGAAAATAAAGACCTATTTGGCAACAACATTTAATGGCATGTTTTAACAACATGCTGTCAATGAAGTAACACAAGGATCCACTGTATATGAGATTATTAAGAGACTGTTTCATGGAAGAAGGATAGCTAAAAATACCCCTGGTATTCACCGCCCTAATAAGGCAAAGCTTCTCTCTCTCTTTCTAACTAAACGAAGGTGCACAACGAAAATATTAGAATATGTATTCAGACATCCCCACCAGACAAGCCTTATTTTGCATTTTCTGCAATGATTCATGGTAAAATGTGTTAAACAAAACCATAAAAACAATTACCAAGAATAAATAAATAAATCCTTTACTGTCCACAAAGTGAACATTTGTCTTCAGCTTCACCATATACAATATTAAAAAACAACACAATGAATCCAAATCTTAAAAACAACATAAAAACCTAAAAATGCAAACATTATACATGCTGTATATTTCACCATATTTCCATATGCACATATACAATAATAAACTAAACTAAAACAGAAATAATAATAATAATAATAATAATGAATTTAGGTGAAATATGCCATAATCTCTTCATAAAACTAGCAAAGCGACTACAGCTGTTTTGACTAAAAAGTGTTTTGGCTAACATTTCCAATTTGTCCAGCCTCATCCACATTTGTGCTTGCATTTTTTTAATTCATTATGAGGCCAGAATGCAGTTAAACAATTGATAAGCTACTACTAAATATTGTAGAAACTTAATTTGCTGGAAAGTTGCTTTGCAACGATTTGTATTGTGAAAAGCGCTATACAAATAAACTTGAATTGAATTCATATGTTCAAATTAACCTCTGAGTTGCTATGGTAACTACCCAGACGGAACCATGGTTGGAGAACTAGGGAGATATTATAGAGAAAATGAAAAATCAAAGCAGCTCAAAAAAATTATAGAGGAGGCACTGGAAAACCAAACAGAGAGCTCATGTGAGAGCTGGTAGAGAGGAAAAAAAGTTTTATGGTTAATTTAATGACTATTTTGCTTTAAGGGTGATTTAAACACCAACACAATGATGCTAACTCCTTCCCTGCAGGGCTGCATGTTGACAGTGTGACTCACTGCCTTTGATCCTACTTAGATATCTGAAGGTATTGAAATTCACTCCTCTAAAATCCCATACGTTACCCTTCAAACTCCCACATCCTCAACTCAGGCTGGAAACACGATATGCTCATCCTTGCTGCACAAAAAATATTTACTCAAAACATTTACTTGGAGGCATTCTCTGCATTGTTTAAAACCAAATATCCAGCTCAAGGCAAGTAAAGCGTTTAAAATGATCTGATACTTCTGACTAAGACATGAAAATTAGGAAATCTAATTCTAAGTCTTCTAAAAAAGATTAAGGGTGTTCACACATGAATTCATTCGTTTTAATTGAGAGTTGGAGATTTGCCGCGACGTGAGTGACAGCTATCACTGCCAACCAACCAACAGCAGAGCAAACTGCTGTCAGTGTTAATGTCCATTAAGAAGGGACATCTTACAGTTTTCACCATAAAACTCACCTGATTTGATGAAAAGTGTAGCGCTGCTGGACACCTCGCCGACCTCGTTAGTAGCAGTAACTGTGTATGTTCCTGCATTAATTGGCTTTGTCCATTTGAGGAGCAATGAATGCCTTTCTCCCTCTACCTTCACAACATGAGTTGGGCTGTTCTTGATCTCAGTGTTGACTCTCTTCCATGTAACTGTATATAAAATACATTTATTTGCTGTAACATCCCTAGAAAGTACAGTCTTATTTCTGAGACACTCTGGAATTACCTTTGTGCTTGAAATGTGGGCAAAGACTCAAAAGAAGTCCCTACAAGTGTTGCTGTCTGAAGACATAGTACTGATAGTACTGTTTAGCTGACAACTTGTAAGGCAAGGCAAGTTTATTTATATAGCACATTTCATACACAATGGTAATTCAAAGTGCTTTACATCAAAGAAATGAAAAAATAATAAAAAAAGAATCACAACAAGAAGACAAGGAATTTAAAACTTTGAAAATGATTTACAAATTTATTTAAGAGGTTTAAAATGAATTTAAAACAGTTAAGAATAGAAAATGATTATACATAAAATATAGTGCAATCAGTTCGGACATTGCACAGTGCTCATTCAGTAAATGCACAGCTAAACAGATGAGTTTTGAGTCTGCATTTAAATGTGACTAATGTTTTAGCACATCTGATCTCTTCTGGAAGCTGATTCCAACTGCGATCGTATAAAACGCAGCACTGAGATCTAGTAGTACCAGCACTGATATTTTGCCAGAATCACAATTTAAGCGAATATCATTTATTATCTTAATGAGCGCTGTCTCTGTGCTGTGATGCGGTCGGAAACCAGATTTAAAATTGTCCAGGTATCCATTTGAGTTTAAGTATTTGTTCAGCTGATTGTAAGTTAATGTAAAGTAATTTTTTGAGTAAATGATTCAGAGTCAACAGGGACTACACCATGACTGCATCCCTGTGATGCTCATGTATTACAGTTACAAGTCAAATAGGCAAGATGCTAAAGGTTCTGTTTGAAGTTATTACGGCAGAAATAAAGGACTTACCTTCTGGGCGAGGGGTGCCACTGATGATGCATTTTAAAAGCACCTCTGTTCCAGTAAAGGCCACAGTGTCCTGAAGTGGAAACTCAAACACAGGAGCCTCTAGAGGATCCTCTCCTGCAGACACGTACGAGTCGTCTGAAGATTCTGTAACAGCATAAGATGTCTGTCAGATCCAGTAGACATGATATTCCTCAAATATAATATCCAACTTGAATTGGAGGTGCATTGCAAATCAGGGTTGTCTCAGTATTTCTCAGGTTTCTCAAGGTCAAGGATTTGCATGCCACTGGAAATGCCTAAACTTACCAAATTCAGGGGACATTGGTCTTTGTCTGCGTCCTCTTCCTCTGCTTCTTTGGGGTTTTTCCTCTTTAGCAGTGCCACTTTTCTTAGACTTTTCAGTCTTTTCTGCAGGTGTGTCCGTCTCCATTGGCTCCTCTTCAACAATAATTTTTGGTATGGTGAGCTTTGGTGCCGTTGGCAAAGGAGTCACATCCAGCTCCATCTTTTCCTCAGATGAGGAAGATGAGGAAACTCTTGGAGGTTTGGGGGGAGCTTGGACAGGACATTCTTGAATAGCTACAGTTTCTCCTTGCACCAGAGGACTTTCAGGCCTTCTTTCCAGTTTTCTCAGCGTGACCTCTATTGGCGTCTTCCTATGCATGGACTCATCATCTGCTTGTGGAAGTTCCTGAACACGAACAACCCTCTTTACTAGTGGACTTGCAGGTCTTGGTTCCACCTTGCGTAATGTCATCTCTAAGACATTTCGGGATGGTGATTCAGATCTACCTCGAGAGCGCTCTTCAGCCATGGCAGTAATCTCTACAGTTGGAGACCTTCGGGGACTATCTCTGCTCGGGCTTGGACCCCAAAGTCTTGGAGATCTTTGTCCAGGTAAATCAGAGAGTGACATGGCCTCTGGAGGGGATGGTTCTTGTCCAAATGTGCTTACCAACTTGGTGGTTGGGACAGACCGATCACTTTCAACTTTTTCCAGTGACTGTTGTGCCAGCTGGTCTTTTCGTCTGCGAGATGGTGATTTTGGAGGTGATCGTTCTTTTGGTTGTCCTCTCTCTCTCATCTCTTGTTCTCGCTGAGCACGCTCTCTATCCTGCAGCTTTTGAAGAACCTGAGGTGGGATGGGCTCTAACTTACTTACAGGCTGCCTGCTCCTGCGAAAAGTAGAGAGCTGCTCTGTTGAGAAGGATTTCTTCATGTGTGGTTTACCGACAAGCTTTTTGATGCGCTGGAGCTCCTCTGTGAACTTGTTCTCAATGTCCTGCACCTTTTGGGTGTAACGGGGTCTGTCCTCCAGGGAAGCAGCCCGCTGTTTGAACACGGTCCTTCTCTGGGCTGCGTCTGCCTTCAGAGCCTCACGAAGGTCTTCTTTGGAGCTCTCCCTCGAGATTCCCAACCGGCTCCCTCCTTCATCAGAGTCAATAGACGAGGCTCTATTAAATCCAGCCCAAGAGCGTCCGGATATAGATCCCTCTGGGTTATCGATACTTCTTCTGCGCTCTTCAAAGACTCGCACCTTCTCAAAGATCTTGGAGCTAGCTCTTGTCAGTTTTGGTGAGGGCCGAGGTGTAAGTTCCTTACGGGAATACTCGCTGACAGGGGTTTGGGGTCGAGAGTCTTGAGCACTACTCTGAGACATGCCTGAGGATTTGGGTTGCTTTATCTTCTCCTCAAACTCTCCTGGTACTGTGTCTTGATATTCAGTTGGCACGACAACTTTCTTGCGTGGGGCTAGGGGTGTGGCAGGGGCTGAACCAGAACAGCTGAGCAAAGGAGAGGCAGTAGAGCGGCCAATTTTGGGGGAAGGGGGTGGTAGGACTTGAGGGGGAGATTCCCTCAAAACTTCTTCAGATGGGCTCCTAAAAGAAGGTGTTTGAGGGAAATGTTCTGTTAGAGTATGGGGTTATGCAAGGGGAGGAGCCCAACTGTTTGGATGAGGACTTTGGAAGAGGGGCCAGAGAGGCTAATTTCTCTTATGTGGGACCTTAAATGGGACTGTCTACATGTGTTTGTGTACAAGTTACTTCAAATCTACTTCTGTTAATGTCTTAATTTGAGCAAAATAATTAGCTTTTTTAAATGAGGAAGGAGTGTGTGAACCTTCATAATTTTCAAATTTCAGGAGAGGTAAATAAAGAAAATAAAAAATGATGAGCTTCTGTTAATTGCATTTTCTAATTAGTTACGGTTGATAAATTGAAATATAAAAATAATGCGAGGGGATGTTCAGAGCATGAATAAAATGTATTCTATTAATCTTGGAGTGACAGTCAAGACTAGTGGTTGAACGGATCGTAGTTGATCCGTGATCAGTACGGACCAACCCCCACGTTTCGGCACATGTGATCCGCGGATTAACTGCAAAATTTAAACATAATAAAGTGAAAGTTTATCATTTGTACGTGTTTACACACTCAAGCGATTTTAAACCATTCCAGCAAAAGAAACTCGATTCGTTACTCGCGCACTGTTTTCTATGCGCATGCACAGCCGCACACACATGACGTGCGCATAATGATAAATTCTCATATGTTAACGCCTCATTTCTTTACAGAAGATGATTCTATATTTTATTAATGTTCCACTAAATTATGCAATCTGAAGAGTTTTGAGCGCTCTCTCCCGTCTCACTGTCATCACACTTAGTGGGGCAGAAATGTCATCAAAATGATTTTAAAAATAAAAATAGCCATTTAATGAGTTTCTGTTTTTAGGAGTTAGCCTATCACACAAACAAGAGTCCTGTTTTTCTGAATATCTGCACGATCGCAAATGCACAATAAACAAGTTACTGAGTAACTTTTAGACACAAAATTCCATTTTGCTCCGTCGAAAAGAAAATAGAACAAACAGCAGAATGGCTGTGTCTCTGAGCAACACGGTGTTTTGTTCCTCAGCGTTACATGGACCAGTAAATAATTCAATCAGGCTATAAGTACAGTCATTTGCTAAGTTAAATGAATTGGCATTTCAAATGAATTGGTTGATTTAAGTATTCAACTCGCTCATTAAAACAGTTACTTGCTGCCACCTACTGGCGGTTGTATATTCATATTTATAAAAGTAGCTTATTATTTAATATTACATCTAAATTTTGACTAGGCTGGACATTTTGCATATTAATTGTTAATTATTTTTTGTGTATTTTGTGTTACTCCATAATGATGTTCTAGTTGAGGGCATTTGTAGTGTATAAGTATAGGGCCCAAACACAACCTCAAGCCCAGGGTCCCCGGCCCCCTAAGTCCTGCCCAGATCATTATATTGGATCCGTGCAACAGGTCTTAAAGGGACAGCAGCTTATAAATACCTGCTGCTGTCATTAACGCTAATCAAACAACAAAACACAGCTTTGACAAAGATCAATCTATATTTAATTTATACAGTAAACACTATGCAGTGTTATTTTACACTTAATTATTACATTTCTGTACCTGAATACTAATAATACTTTAAACTTTTTTTTTTTACCTTTATTAGTTATGTTAGTTTTTGCTGTCTAGCGACTTTTATTTGTAACATTGTTCTGTTGTATTTATATATGCTTGTAATTTGTGTATTTGTTCTTATTTTTTCTGGCTGTTCACCTGTCTTTAATCAACTTTCTTAGTTAGCCTAGTAGTTTTTGCTGTGGTATCAAAGTACTTCGCTTTAAGTACTAAATAGAAAGCAAAGTTACATTGAAATATTTTTTTTTTGCTGATCCGGAAAACGATCCAAGGCTCAAAAACCGTAATATGATCCGAACCGTGAGTTTTGTGATCTGTTGAACCACAAGTCAAGACCACATTTAAATGTAAAGTTACACTATGTCTACAAGGCTAAGAAATCTGAATTCTTTCTTAAAACAAATTGTAATTTATTTGTCTTTTACAAAACAACTGAATGCTGTAAAACAATGTAATATCAGCACATGGCAGATTAAATTGTGCCTACTAGCCTATACCTTCCAAAATCACTGGGCCAGACCACCACACATCACTGGATATCTACAGGAATAAGTCAAGTGTCACTTGCCAATGCTAGGAAGGAAGAGTAAAACAAGGATTAGTGCAGGCACATAACTATTAAATGTTGAGTCATCAAGAGTACTGCTAAAAGGGGTCTAATTCAAAATGGCTGTGCACTAGAAAATGTCTGAAGAGCAGTAAAACATAAACATCTTTCTTGTTTACACAGCACAGACCAAACTGAACTAACCTCGCAGAGCTGATACAGCTAAAAGTACTGTAAATCCAACCAGTGTAGCTTCCTTCCCAACTGGCAGTTTGACAAACTTATTCTTGAATTCAACATCCAGTGCACTATAATGAGTGAACATCTCCCATGCAGCATCAAAATCATGCGAAAACAAAGCACAAATCTCGTTAAAACAGAGGGATGATCCTTAGAAATGTGTGATGTTAGTAAAGTATGACAATAAGCATCTGGCAATAGTGGTTTTTAGACAGTTTGCTATTTATTCAAGATAAATAAGTTCAAAATTGATCTTCACATAAATATACAGTCTTGTACTTTTTGGTTTTAATTGAGGGAATAATACTCAACACATTACAGTGTTTTAGATTGCACTTTATTTGAGATCATTATAATTGAAACACTGATATTTAACTTTGGCAAAAAATGTAAAGACATAAATTATATATATATATATATATATATATATATTTGTACAGAGCCTCTTAATCTGTGTGAGTAACACACATCTTTGAGAGTTCTTACAAGATCTATGCCCTCCTATCCTTGCGAGTCAAGGCATCATGTGCATGCATGCAAGGATTCCAAAAACAGCATTCAAGGATTCCAAAAACAGCATGCACAAAAAACCAGGGGGAAACCGAAGGGGTCGATGATACCTAACACAAAAATGTGATGCAAGCATGTTTTTAATGCAAACTTTTGGTCAGCTTCAATTTTGCATCAACTGCTGTGCGGGTAGAAAAAAACTAAAAGAATTTGCATATGGACAATGGGGGTCAAAGGAAAGTATGAACTAAATAAAAATAAATCTAGATGAGGAATGGGAAAGGCAATAACGGTGCGTGAGGGAGGAGCTATTCTTAACTAAATTCAGACTATATTTGTCTCAGCCTGTAACCTCTACATTATTAGTTTATAGTATGAAATTCTGTTTTGTTTTGTTTTTATATGTAACACTAGGTTTAACATATTATCAGCATATGTGTGACACTTTAATTTAACTTTTACTTTTATTATGATGCATGGTAAAATGGTAATGTTTTCGTGACACGTACAGAAAGAGCGTGCAGCCAATGGAAGATGCATCATATTAAGCTTACTCAGCGAGTACTATTTTGGAGTTTAAATGCTTTGTCTTCAGATATAACAGTTTGGCCAACAGCAGCACTTCCAGAGATTATTTATTCTTAGACTCCTTCAGCAGCTTCCAAAAAATGTTGACCTGCACAAAAGGACACTGTGCTCTCAGCATCTCAGTTTGTGCATAATGTGACACAGATCTGACAGATTATAAACTGGTTGCTTTAAAGGCCAGGTCATTACCTGACAGTGCCCTGCACCTGCCCTCTCTTAGACAGAACCATGACTTGCTTTAAGGTTATCTTAGTGTTAGGCACAAACTGGAACAGCCTGTCATTACCAATAGATCTTGGTTCAACACATTCATGATACAAATTAGCAGCAAATCAAAAGCAGAACCAAACAACGGGGATGGAAAACAGAAACTAATGGATAACAGTGGGTTTGAAAGTATGCAAAGCCTGGGATGGTTCAATGCTAAACAGAGTGGGATGAAATTTGAAAATTTGGGTTATAATAGACTAAGAAAACTAAAATTTGAAGGAGAGTTTGAGTGACATATGGTTCAAAGAGTGAGACAGTCAACCCTGGCTCAAACATGGATGAAGAAGAGCGCTACGGAGGGATGAATGACAGAAGATACAATCAATCGCCTACTTTTCTTTTCTATGCTTATACATCATAGCCAGCACAATATCTATGCTTATACATCATTGCCAGCACAGTATCTATGCTTATCTATGCTTATACATCATAGCCAGCACCCAAAATTAACACTCATCAAATGTCAAATGTGAGTAAAAACTGGCTTTTGTCCAATCATTAACAACACAACACAACACAACACAGTTTAAGTCAAATTGTAAGAATGATAGTCTGATGTAAGCGACAAAAGCAATTCAAATCCAAGACAACCGACTACATACAGTAAGAAAACACCTGTCACGAGTCACACATCTTCTAACAGCTTTTACAATCAGAAGTTTATCTAGGATGACTAAGGTATTTTTTTTGTATCCAGAACATGAAATAATCCTTGCATTAAGCCACCGAAATGAATATACGACAATAAAATTCTGATATGTTTTGATGTTTTTGTGACATACAGCGAGACGGAAACTGGCTCATCTAAAGTAACAAATCATCTGTGGTTTTTATAATCACTAATATGCGATGAAAAACAGTGAAATAGTTTTGTAATAAAAATAATGCAAAATACAGTTTTACAGCAATAAATCTGGAATATTTTAAGGAATATTTAGGGTGAATTTTAGACCTTTATCATGTCACCGCCACCGCAATGACTTGAGCATGATCAAATTGATTAGATTGACATAACGTAAAAGTTCTATCTATGACAATGTGAAATTAATATGAGCATCAACTGAAGTTGTTCAGTGTCATTTCGATTCTGCTCTCCAAAAATTAAATAATACATGTATAAAATCAACGTGTGAAAAAACAACTTTTGTAAGGCTTATGGCAGCTCACACAGATCTACACTCTGTGGGCTGAGCTGAACCTCATCCAAATGCAGAGAGCCCACTCACTGTATCTTCTGTCATTCCTGTGGTGATATAAGCTGCCTCATGGGGCCACCACAACGCACAGCTCAAATACAGAGAGAGACAGAGGAGGAATTACAGCCCGAGTCTTGTTCTCAGCCCCCTCCCATCCTTAGCACTTACAGGGGACACCATGTTAGAGCAAGGGTCTCTTGTGACGGGGGCTGTGATTGTTTATCTATTGATAAGGGATCTTTTTATATATCTGTGTTTTGGTCTGCTTATTGTGGGCTGTGGCTGATTGCGGTTTATTTTAACTTGGGAAGGTTTACTTACAGGGGTACAGAAAAAGTCCTTCCTCTATAAAGACTGAACGTGCTACCATAGTAATCGCTAGCTAAAGACACACTTTCCTCTGACCCCCAAACCGGTCGGGATAGATTGGCGCGTGATGCTCGAATCAGAGGCTCGACCCCTAGGTGCCTGATCTGGGTGCCCGTCGGCTCCCAGCTGTTGGCTTGCCTGGCTGACTGCGGTCCCGGAGCTCTTGATCCCAGGGCTAGAGCTTCTTTCTCCAACACTGTGGTCTCACCGGCAGCCCAGCGATCGCTTGCATCTGGGGCGACATCCATCATTCTCTCACCTGCGGGAGAGGGAAACGGGAACAAATAGAGCAAATTAAATTTCAGGCAGGATACTCGACGTCCTAGCGTTCACAAGTAAGTTATGGGCGAACTCATCCGCATTATAAAAAAAAACGCTAACAACAGAAATGACTTTTTCTTTCAATTACACTTTTCTCCTTTTACTAACATTATCTTTTCTTTCAACTGCATAAAAACCACCTAATAATCTTAGAATATTTATTAAACCAGTCATGTCATGATAAATAAAATGCTCCTTGATCTTTAGAAATAATATAGTTCATTAAACTAGAGAAACACACTATAACTTTAAGAACTAAAAACTTGCTTCGCAATTAAAAAAGACCATTTATGGAAATTAAGCTGCAAAAATGACTCATTTAAAGTTCTCCAATTTCTGATGCCAAAAAAAAAAATGGAACTGTTTAAATCTATATTAGATTTGAGAGTCATAGCTCATGTGCGACTGCTCTTTCTCTTTTCACATGCAAAGAGGGTATTTGCATAAAAGTCTTAAAGGTATAGTAGCAAAAAACTGCCTGTTTAACTATAATGAAAAGGTCAATTATGACCATTTTGGTTACCTACATTCTAATTGAACCTCAGACAGTCAGACAATATTGGGAAAGATTAATGAATAAAATCATGTTAAAAGGTCAATTTATGATGGTTACTAACATAATTGGATCTCAAAACAATCAATCAATCAATGTTATGACCCCTTTAAATTTATAGTGAAGGGAAAAAAAAGACATATAATCCCTTTAAATCCTTACAAGAATGAAATACTGTTTGTTATGCCTACAAGTGGATAATGTAAGTGGATTACATGAGCATGCATTCAGAGGTGTGAAGAATAAAGCCCAGGTGATGCCATTCAGCTGCAAGCTGCGCTGAAGCAAAGTCACAGCTGATGCCTTCAGAGCCAGTGCGATTCAGTGACTGAATGGATTAGACTGCAGTCAGGAAGCATCCATCAAAATCAATGACAATGCGCCTCCGCCCACCCCTCTACACCCACCATAACAGATCAAATCAATCACTTATGCCACTACGGAAATCATACGCTCCACCAAATCCTGACACATTTATTCCTCCGGTATCTCTTTGTTGGTGAAATTGTTGACTTTCACTTTGTAGAAAGGCTTTGGATCTTACAACTGTATGTTATGCGCTGTGAAGACATCATTCATAGCAGTGCTAATGACAAACAAGCAATTTAGAGTGCAATTCAAGCTTTGTTGCTTGTGGTGCACTTCTTTGTTGAAAGCTGTGTTATACACAAGATAAATGAATTTCAATGTTAGACACTGAGATCAAAACGGATATTTATATACAGGCCATGCTGTTCTCACACTTCTCATTTCTAGGCTGAAATCACACATCAAATAAATATCACTCTATTCCTCTCTTCTATTTTTTAGTCCTCTCTCGTGGTGATGTAAGAAATGGAAATACTGTTCACCCAATCTGTAAGTGTCTCAAATACTTTCCCCAGGGGATAACGGGAAGGCTTTTGTCATAATACATACTGACAAGTGAGAGCTCAATTGCCTAGATTCTGCAAAGGGACTAAATAGAATCAAGAGAATAGGCCTCAGATTTGTATCTTTGTAAACACATCCATGTTTTTCTTCTGTTTAAAGGCAATCTATATCAGGGATTAAAGTTCCGTCGCTACAATGGATTTCCGTCCGTTCGTAAAGACAGTCACTTGCTTCATTCCTGAATGATTCAGCCATTCGAAAAAATCAATTGAATTAATGATTCAGTGATAAAATCAGTGACTTGCCGCCACCTGCTGGCGGATTTAGTTTCATTTTTAGCGTATAATTTCAGTTATATGAATCATATTTCTGTATTCAAAATGTTATATTTAAAACATTAATCTCCACATGAATTTAATTGCACTCATGCCACCTCTGAGCCTCATTAAACGTCTGAAAATGTACCTACAAGCCACTTGTGTTCTTCTCTGCCAGCTCTGTAGTACAAATTAATTTATTAATACTAATTTCATATGATTGGTAGCTTATTTGTCTTATTCTACATATTGTTTTAAATAGAAATTTTAAAAAGATTATATTATTGATCAGAAGGTGCTCCTAATTTTTTTAAATTAGGAGGACAGGCGCTCCTAATTACAAGAAGAAAAAACTGCTCATATACTGTGTGTGTGACAGGTATGGCTGAGGAATGGGGTTTGGTCGAAGAAAAACTTTCAGTCAGAAGATTTTTTTTTTTTTGCTTTAACCCCTGCAATATAATAATAAGTAGAATAAGACAAATAAGTTACCAATCATATGAAATTAGTATTAATAAATTAATTTGCACTACAGAGGTGGCACAGAAGAACACAAAAGTGGCTTGTAGGGACCTTTTCAGACGTTTAATGAGGCTCGGAGGTAGCATGAGTGCAATTAAATTCATAAATTCATGTGGAGAT